CAGGCAGGCGCTTTGCCGCTGAGCTAAATCCCCAGCCCCTCCCAACTTATTTTTTAAAATGAAAGTTACACAAATATATATGGCACCAACATTGAGATGAAAACTGAGGCTATACTCTGGAGATCAGAAGCATTTTAATGATCTTTAAATAAAATGTTAAGCTTATTTTGATCTCAAGGTTTAATATTGTAAATGTACCTCCAAATCCTATTTTTAGGGTTTATTGTAGTATGTTGCTAACTTTCCTGTATTATCTTTTTGACGTCACTGTTTTTGTTTTCCTGACAATTATCAAGGATGTCTTTGTCTGCATCTTAAAAGTCATTGGAACCCTTTGTCGAAAGGTCAAGGCTTATTCCTGAATGCTTTCTGTGCTCGCGAGACTCAGGTCACTACTGTTGGCCTTTCTTAGTCTCCTGTTGTCTCCGTCAAACAGCTCAGTAGTGCTGTACTAGGAGAAGTTTATCTCATTTCCAAATTCTTAGTGCTTGCTAAACTATCCCAAGGATAGTGGGTCTCTCCGTATTCCTTTTCCTATCTCTGCCTAGTATCTCTCTGTATAGTCTCATCTGTAAAAGAGAGATGATAACTGAATCTATTTCCTAGAGTTGCTAAGAGAATAAATATATGCTTAGAATGTGTGTGCATATTGGCTCTTTAGTGTATCATCATTAACTCTTTTTTTAATTCTGTGCAGTATAAAGATGTGACTTACTTTATTGATGATCTTTTAGGGCTTTTTTTGCAATGATTTAAAATAACATGACCATTTGACGGTTTACCTTATGTAATTAAAAGTACAAAGGGTAGGGTTATGAAAAGTAGTGCCAGCTGAGTGTGGTGGCACATAGTGTAATCCCAGCAAGTCGGGAGACTGAGGCAGGAGAATTGAAGTTTGTGCCCAGCCTAGACAACTTAGCAATTTAGCAAGACCTTATCTCAAAATAAAAAATAAAAAGGGCTGGGAATATAACTCAGTGTGAAGGCCCTGGCTTCAATCCCCAGTACTGAAAAAACATTAAAAATAAAACAGTGCTGCTTACAAACTGGTATTTGTAAATACTTCACATTGACATATTGTAGAAAATATAGACTATAAACGAAAGCGCATATTGATCATGTGTTAGCTCCCTAAAACTGGAACTTTCTCTCCTTCCTCTGTCATCCCCCTCAGTGTCTCTCACAAAGAAAAGCCCTCAGGGATCTAGATAAATTCTAAGTGGATCAAAGAATCATCCAGGCCTAAGAATTGTAAATGCGATCGGATTCTCATTACAGTGACAGAAAAGAGGCATAAAAATGACATATGACAGGAATGACAGGACTTTAAAGACCTCACATAAACAAAAGGTGCTGTTTAAACACCAGCAAATTGTCATGATGTCCTCTGGTTTTCTGTTATCACCACCTTCTCATGGAGAAGAGGGTGATTCACAAGATCAGCGAGCTTTACATTGGCTATAGAGACAGAATAGACTGTTTTCATAGGTACTAAGATGTCATCGTGATGAAAGCAAGGCTTTGATTTGGCCTATTCTAGGAGACAGTACTTTCTCAGCTGGCTTTTGCTAGAATTTCACCATTGGCGCCTCTGGTTTCGTCTGTCCGTGAATTTAGAGAGGATTATGTGCAGGAATCAAAGATCGTGGCTGGGCTGACCTCGAATGCGCTGAGGTTTGGAGGATGCAGCTGTAGCGAAGGCCCTATTTCTTTGGTGTCTTGCTCAACTGGCAAGAGAATTGAGTGAATTCCTTGAGGTCAGAAACCATCCCTTTCTTGTCTATCTTCTTTGCCTGCGCAGTGACCAGAAGTGAAATTGTTACTGCAGACCCGGGCCCTTCACGACTGCAAGTGAGCTTTCTGTCAGGGCACATGCGCTCTCCTCTTCTCGCTGTGTTCATACTTTAGTTCAAAACACAAGCCACCAGCAAATGCTGCTTCCCACTGGAGCCCCAGAAGGTGTGACTGTAGCGTGAACCCATGCACTTGGGTTCTTGGGCCAGATACTGAGACACACAATACCAGACTGAATTGCTGTCTGATATCCAAAAATGTGCTGGAAAACAGTTCAGGCCTCAGAGCTAGGCTTTGGTGTTGGTTGCTACTATTGATTGTCATAGGGCTTTTCTACTGTTTAACTGGATCTTCCCTGTAGGTGTCCAGGATGTCACTGTGGGAAGCACCCGGGTTGCCTAAGTTAGAAAAACACACCTGAGCATATCAACGAAGTTCATACTGTGCTCACGGAATTCAGTAGAGCTCTGTTGGTGAGAAAAACATGAGTGCCTTCTGATGGCGGGTTGAGGCGAAGATCCCACCAGCTGCGTACTGGTGCTGAATTCCAGTGGCTGTTAAGAATTCTAAGACTCTTCCTTTCCCACCACAGATCTGGAAAGACTGTTCTTCCAAGTTACATTTGACAGAATTGTGTTCTTCGTCTGGGTTGTGCTTCCTTGCATTCACATTGCGATTATGTTCATGACTCCAGCGTGCAGAGCCTCGAAAACTATTTCTCCACGCTTCCCTTTAGGCTCCTTTTTATTAAAACAAAACCTACCAAATTAAAAAAAAAAAACCTCCCTTCCCAGCAGCTAGGGTAATAGGTACCCCATAGCGTGATTCACCATACCAGGGTGAGCACATTATTCCTATCATTGCTTTGTTGCCCCAAACCACTAACTTCCTGGATGTCTTGCTTTGTTTTCTTAAACTGTTCCAAGAAACTTTTTCAAATTAAGCAAAGTTATGGCACTTAAGCAATTCCCTATTCAATGAAAACAGAACATTGTGATCTTAGATTTATTCTCTTTCTGTATATGAGATTTATCATTAATGTTTTGGCTTAGCTGGCCTCATGTTTGGGTCTTATCCTCCAAGCTTTTCCGTTTTTATTATTTTCAAAACCATGGCACACTCTTCATTCCTGGCATTCTTGATTTCTACTTCAAGATCTGAGCTTTTGTGAGGTAAAATCTTTTCACCATTGTGGTTAGTTAGTAGTTAGAAATAAATGACGGGCATGCTGGGGGTGTAGCCCAGGGGTAGAGAGCAGGCCTAGGATGTACAAGGATGGAGTTCAATCCCGAAGACTAAAAAAATAAAAGATGGGAAAAAAAAAGCTGCCTACTTTCATATAAACTATCTCATTCTTATTGTCAAGTTAAATGAACAATAAACAATTCAAGAAGTAAAATACAGATTTTTCCTGGGTGACATTGGAAGGAATATCATTCTCAGAGGGGAATTTACCAAGATATTTAACTTCACTCTTCTGTCCTTATTATAAAGTATTACTTTATGTTTATTCATTTAAGATTGCTCCTGAGGTTATTTGAAGAATGAGCTAATGTTGGTAAAGAGCTCGTAGATTCTCGGAGAGCAGATTCTGTTTTTTTTTGTGGTTTTTTTTTTTCTTTTTTTTTTCTTTTTTTTTCTTCCAGTACCAGGAATCGAACTCACGACCTTGCACTTGCCAGGCAGGTGCTTTGCC